GTGCTGGCAGCTGGTGGGACCACAAGCCGTCCTGTCATCAGTGATGGGAGCTGGAACTGGATCTCCCTGGTCCGGACGTCGTTCCACTGGTTCGGCAGTAACGGCGGATCTAACGAACACGAGAGTCCCTTTGGAATGTGAGCTATTCCCTTTCACCTGAGGCTCACCTGCCGTCTCGCCATGTTGTCTGGGAGAACCCCTGTTCCCACACACACACCGGACTAACAGAGGAAACACACTCTGGGTGGAAACACATTCTAGCAGGGATTAGTTCTGTGACTTACCGAACCGTCTCCTGCTCAGTCTCAAGCCCAAGCCCTGTCCAGACGGCAGCCCGAGCGGTGCCCCCTCCTCAGCTGGCCGAGGGGGGCATAGTCCGGCAGCGAGAGGGCTGGCGGTCACAGCGAGACACCAGGAGACACCAGGAGACACCAGGAGACACCAGGAGACACCAGGGAGCTCCTCAGAGAGACACAATAAGTCCCAGATGCTGCTGGAGCGACCGAGCCACAGACGAGACGGATGAAGGAGCTCAGAGCTGAACAACAAGGAAAAAGCAGAGATGCCTCCGTGTGTGTGTGTGTGTGTGTGTGTGTGTGTGCTTTCTGTGGGATCAGTGTTCATGTGAAGAGGAGGAGGAGGGAGGAGGAGGAGGAGGCTCCACGCTCTGCTCCTCGCTCAGTAATAATCTCAGGCAGCTGGTTTTTCAGGTCCGTCCGCCCCGAGGCGTGCCGCAGCCGCCGATCAGAAAAAAGAGTCCGGATCCCTCTCAGAGCCGTCTGCTCTCCAGGTGTGCTGCCTCTCACTGGACGTCTCACCTGATCGGCACAGTTTGGTCAAAGCCGACACCAACAGCCTTAAAGCACCGTCCTACAGCTCACATAGGGCTCAGACTGGATCAGGGGTCAGTGAACAAAGGATCCAAACGTTTCCTCCCATCGGGGGAGAACATGTTGGTGCACGTTGTGTTGAGCTGTTATCATGAATCCATTCATGTCTGCACCAAGCGTTTTATGTATGGAGTTAAAAATTAACTGGTGGGTGTGTTGGTAGAACGGATCCAGCATGTCGCAGACTTTCCTTCTACTGAGCGACGCTGAGCTCCGTTCAAACACCAGCATCTGTGTGGAAGCTACAGATTGAACAGGATTGATTTGGTTTGTTTTCTCTCCAGCTGTCCTACTGTCTCCTTTTCAAACACGTAGTACGAGTCTGACAGTCAGTCCCCAGATCTGTGCCAGAGACACCAGGATGGGGCCTCGTGTTACCTCCAGGGGCTGGGCGGTGCCGCCGTAACCAAGCCGGCCAGAGTCGGGCCTTTGTCACAAAGTGTAATTAAACTTCATCCGAGCAGACACACATTGTTCTGCGTCGCCCAATGGGCTGCCGGCCCTGTTCACAGCACAGCGCCGACATCCTCACATTCAGCCTGGACACCGTTACATAAGGGCAGGAGATAGGGTCGGGTTTCTGAGAGGAGTCTCTCAAAATGGCATCCAGTGAACATGATGTAAAGACCACTGAGTGTTCAACAGTCTGGTTTCACTGAGGGTGGACACACAGGTGCATCTACCTGTTGACGTGAACAGAAGTGGTGCAGCTCATCCTCTGGGGACCATGAATGTCTGTAAGTCTCTTAGAGAGTCTCTGTCTCCACCGTCTGAAGGCATCGTAGGTTCTGACCTGGCTGCATGTATGAATGTGGCTGTCAGTCTCTGTCACAGCGAGCTACCACATGAAGCCGGCTGTGGGAGGAGCCAGAGTCGCAGCCTACGCCGTCCGTGAGTGGACGTGAATAAAACACCATGAGCGGGCGCCGTCCATCCACTAAAAGAAACGAGGTGTGAACGGAGCCCTCGGCCTCGTGGCGTTTATGTGTTTGAAAGGAGAAGGAGGAGAATATGGACGCGGTCGTGGCTCAGACAGAGAGCTTCAGGACGTCATTTCATCCTGCATTTCTATTGGTTAGTTAGCAGCAGATGATCACTCCACCACCCTCGCAGGTTGTCTTAGACCATGACCACAGCCGTCCTTGAACCTGCCTCGCGGTGTGACGTAGGACCACCGATTTACAGCCAAGACCAAAGACATCGTCACCATTCTCTCATGATTGTCATCGTTCGTCTGGGATGGCTGAAAATCCCAGAGTGTATCGGCTTCAGGCCCATGACGGACCGCCGACCCGCCGCCTTCCACACAGTGTCATCTGGACCAGGCTCCAGCCAGGAGGTACCAGCTGGAGCTAACGGACAGACGGTTCTGTAGGCACGTCGTATTCATACATAAACTCTGGGATCCACTCTGCTGAAGCCTCATTGCACATATTCAGCAGCGAGCCGGTTCAGGCTGCGCTGCCACATACACTTCACTCCAAACATCATTTATCAAACCGGCCTCTCTGATTTGACAGTTTGTTTAAACAGTCCCTGAGCTCTCTCTCTGACATGTCGGTGCTCATTCAGCCCCTCCACCGGCCCAGCATCCCCCCGTAGGCTCAGAGGAGGAAGATGTTTCCTCAGAGACTGTGTTCTGCTGCTTTGATAAAACATGTCTGTGTGAGCTGACGGACTGCGATTGGCCTGAAACTCAACGTAACCTGAGTGGAGCCGCTTCACGTTCTCCTCATGGCACTCTGCACCAGCAACCATTCAGCAGTGAGCAGCACAGACGTGCCTGCTGAGTAATTCTGGAGAGCACCTTCTGAAGGAATCCGGAGCTGCTGGGTCCATTAACGCCCACGAGAGCCACCTGATCTGTTCCCCTCAGGTGCACACACATCATCACTTCCAACAGTACGGGTCATTGTAAAGAGGAATTCCCCGTAACCTCGCCTCCAGCTGCTCCTCAGACCCGTTTACCTGTAAAGCCGACAGCCGGCCACTGTTCCACCTTCAGCCCTGTACAGATTTCATCTCGTGTTTTCTGCTGCAGATCAACACTTTGCCTCCGTCGGGCAAACCCGCGCTTGCAAAACATTCTTTTGTGAAATAGGGGATTACAACGCGCCACTGTATCGGCCCTGTTGTTGTTTCTGCCCTTGTGCAATAAAGAAGAGCGATTCATCATCAGGAAATGAGCGAGAGAAACGTATTGTTTGTGGACTTATGAATAGCCATCAGTCTTCTCCTCGGCTGACAGGAGGAAGCTGGAACGGGCCTTTTGGACCGCAGGTCACGGCTGCATTGCCACACAGCCACCTCGCATTTCACGCCATAAATTTCACAGACTGCGAAAGAATCATTAACTCAGCCTCGCATTTTTCACCGTTGGAACGAGGCTCCGACCAGACAGAATATTAACCGCTGTCCTTGAGGACAATCTGAGCCGCGGCGTGCCGGCGCCGGTACCGCCACCTCGCTCTGCTGCAGCGTGGATTTAATTAGGTGTCACCGCAGTGATCAAAGATGTTCTGTCGGGTTTATTGCTTTTTGCAGAAACACACGTCAATACCGAAGCGATCTGAAACGGTTTGTCATGAAGTGTGGAGTGTAAATAAAACAGCAACATGAGGAGAAGTTTGAAGGATGATTCCAGCATCTGATTCGTGCATCTCAAGCTGATTTATAGCCTCATCGTCAGTCTGTAACATACCAGTCATTTAGCCAAACAGCAGCTCTTCTGATGCTAATGTCAGCATGCTAAAGTCTTCACAGTGACAAATGTTGTTCCTACAGTGAGGAAAATAAAGGTTTTATGTCTTTTCATACAGTACATGTAATATTCATAATGTTTACCTCATAGACCGTCTCTAAATGTTTTACTTTATACACAGTTTATGGTTCATGATGTTAGCTTCATGCTTAACACGCTAACATTGTTAAATTAGCGCCAGCCACGTGTCTGTAGTGCAGCTAGCAGCGCTCAGCGTTCTGGTGATGTTAATAAAAGAAAAAAGAAAAATAAAATAATAAAATATAATAATAATAAAAAAAATTATAATATAAAAAAAATATCTTGCCTGAAAGAAAAAAACATGATCCATCTTCTGACTATTTCCTTGTTTAAAAACAAAAAAAGACGTTAGCTGGACCTGACGTCTGTCTGCATGTATGTGTAGTACCCTGTAGTACCCTGTAGTACAGTTACTGTACTACACTATACCGTAGTACAGTGTAGTACAGTATAGTACAGTGTAGTACGCACTCTTGCATGACACTTAAAAACTACATTTTGCTTCACATTGTTAAAGTCTAAAAAGAAAAAAAAAACACCTAGAAGACTAATTTCTACAGTTCTGGACGTGTCTGTTGTGATTTTATTTACAAAAGGCTCCACATTTCTAACACGTGAACATAAACCTCTCTGGGTTTCTATTTCCAGCTTCAGCTTCAAACATTGCACAGATAACTGATTCTGGTTTTGCTTGAACTTCAGATCAGTCTGTTCAGTGATTGGCAGAGAGGAGCCCAGAGGAGGAGGAGCCAGTCAGGGGCGGGGCTTATCCTGCTGTGACATCATAACAGGCTGCTCACCTGAAGGAGAAACAAAAGGAGGCCGTGGTCTTTTCTCGTATCTTGCGGGTCTCTAATTACGTTAAATACCAGATATAAAACCTGATGTTGCATAACGTGGCCTCTTTACACATTTCTACACATTTGTCTTTCAGTAAAACTAACTGTGTTGATTTATTACCTGAAAGGCACAAACTGAAGCTGGTGAGTCATTTTCACATAAATGTCGTGCGATCTGACCAATAAATTCAACACTTATGTCCCGTTTATTTGATCTACCTGCTGCTTCACCCACATGCACATTCTGTGTTCACATCCCAACCTAAAATGAACAACACTAAACATGGCTTTTAAGAATAAGTCTTTATGTATTTTTCTATGTGAAACAAATGACTATTGTACTACACAAATAGAAGCGGATACTGTAAGAGACAGAGACCATCTCTGAGAAATAAGTACAGAACATGAAAATACACATACTGGTATCATAGAACTGTAAATTATTGCTTGTTTTGCTACTTTGTTTTCTGGATTCCTACAATACGAGACACAATATTCAGATTCCAACAGAAACAGTACAACAGTGACAAACGGTATTATTGAGCTTTTAGTAGACGTTCCCCAGAAAGAAAAGAAACATTCAAACAGAGTCCATGTTGAACACAACACAATGACAGTTGGTTTTTGATCGAGCATCTTCAGGACTTATTGTTACACGTTTTTGTCTTTTTTTCTGTTTTTTTGTTTCCATTACAACATTGCCAAGAGAAGCCATAACAAACTGCACACTGGGACTGGCCTCAGCAACAGAAAACACTTGGCTTATGTACACAAATATACATCTTCTTCTTCAACTGTGACCAAAATGCACCAGTTTTAAACACCATGACCACAGAGTACAAAAATCTTCACGAGTGTCCTTCCTCCTGCTCCTCCTCTTCATCAACATCCACCTCAGCAGTTCCACCAATCCGCTGTCTGCTCGGATCACAGCCGAACCGGAGCGCCGGCCAACACGGTGCGTCTCAAAGAACTGTTTAGCTTCCTCACAAGATAAGATGAATGTTTCTTGGTGGACAAACACGAAAACAAAGATATTGATTTTGTTCTGTAGTGTCATCCTGCCTCGTTTTAAACCGACTGCATGTCTACACTCCCACAGATCCAAAAGGCCTGAAAGGTTCACACGAGCAAAAAGGAAGTGGAGTGTTTCACTCACTGCAATATGCTGGTGAAAAGGCTAACCAGGTGTTTAGCTTGAGATAAATCAAAGAGAAAACAACAACATAAGAAGTCAAACTGAAGGAGTACAATGCGTTTCCTATTTTGTCTTGAAAACAGACTCTTAATGTGAAGGAAACAAACCAAACACGGACAGTAAAGTGCTCACATGCACACAGACCTGTAATCTGATTACTAATATTGTTACATAGCAAAAAAGTCTTTTTAGATTTCATGCTGCCTGATGACATAAAGAAGGTTTAGTCAAAGTGTTTGTTCATGTAGCTTCTGATATGGGACTGTGGGCTGCAGCCACGTGTGAATGAGGATTTGTTCAGGTTTCCACTAAAGGATGTACTGCAGGAAAAAACGTACGTACGTAAATATAAAATGAGACACAACGCAATACGAGGTACTGCAGCTGTGCTGGGAAAACTTCTTTCTGCTCAGTCTAACAACAAACATCCGTGTCTTCGAGTAAGAAAAAATCATTGTATGAAGGTGAGTGAATGCTTTGGTTGGTTCATCGGTTGGTATCTCATGAGGCTACCTCATTTTCCCTTTTCTCAGCAAAATGCTTTCAATATCTAAAAGAACTATTTTCCACAAATTTATCGCTCAGCTATGTACAGCGAAGAAGCAGTGCAGTATTCTGGTGAGCAGCAGGAGACGACGTCCCCGCTCGGAGATATCAAGAGATTCTCAGTGCAAAACAAGCAGTAGAAGGTTTCAGAGGAAACCTGACACATAGAAAGTGGGTTTGTTCAAACAACATAAAGGAGACGTTAAAGATGTGATTTACAGAAATAAACAGCCCACTGCCCTCCAGGAGATGACGGACGAACGCCCTCCCATCCACTAAACCTCAACAGAAAGCCACAAACTTGTCATCACGTTGAAAACTGTCAATCTTTCAAAAAAACCACCCGGCTTAGTTTTTTTTTCTTCTCTCCCCCCAAAGACGTCATTTTAAACTCTGCGTGGGAATATGCACTTACGTCAAAGCGTCACACCATTTCCCTGTCATCACAAACGACAATAAAAAAAACAAAAAAACACCTCAGCTCCTCATCTACAGAAGTAACTAAGCATGCAAAAAGTGTAGGGGTATCAAATACATAGTAAGAATACACATCTAGTAGTTTAGCAAAAAACAAACACCTCTCCAAATAAAAAAAGACGAAAAAAAGGAAGAAAACAAAACAGGAAGTCAAACAACCACCACAACGTTGTTAGTCACATATGGCGCTTTGTGCTGTGTGTGATGTTAAATACGTTCCTTTTTCTTGATATATCTTGTTAGTATTTGTGTTTCTGTACGTATTTTTTGTAATACAGTATATACATGCAGACAAGAGCGGGAACATCACACACTCAATCTTGATGCAAGCTGAAGCGGCAAACCAGCAGATATGAAAATGGTTGAAAGAGAAGAACAAAAAACAGACATAAACTGTATATATAACCTGAAAACACAACTTATTGTAAAAAAAACAAAGAAAAAAAACAAAGAAAAAATGTCTTTTGTCCTCAACCAAAGATGCACACGTGACTGGTACGAAGGGAGAGGTACGGCTAACAAGCTAACGGACTACCAAGCTACTGAGCAGGACTAGCAATGAGAGCTGAGTGTGTGTGATACGTGACAGGTGCCTGCGTTGGGACAGGTATGTTCCACCCCTCTTGCTGAAAACGAGGGGGGTTGGTGGGGTTGGAGGCCAAGCGTGCCCGCCGCTCCCCACGCTGTCCGCAGAATGTGATGAGTGTGTGTGTGATTCTCATCCATCCCCTTCAAGCCACCTCATTCCATCGCCACGCTCCCCACAAACACCGTCTTCGAGCAATGTTTGTTGGTTTGTTTTTGCTTGTAGTTGAACTGAAATGAGGGGCATCGACGCTCTCTGTGAGTGCAGAGACGAGAGAGAGAGGGCAGGTGTGTTGCGGGTTTTTTAAGGGGCGGTCGGTGGGCCGCGCCGGTGTCGGGGTGGGGAGGCCTCTCTAGTTGAAGACTTTGGGGGGTCCGTCGGGACGTCTGGTCTGGACGATCTGCTGCTTTGGCCGCGCCGCCTCGTCCTCCTCCGTCTCGCTCTCGCACACGTGCACGACCACGCTGGGGGTGGACTCTGTCCCCGCGTGCAGCTCATACTTTTCACCTGCGGAAAGACGAGAACAGGTGTTACAAAGGAGGTACTTCCATCCATCCATCATCTCTACACCTTCATCCTCACTAGGGGGCGGAGTCTATCCCAGCTGACTGAGGGTGAAGGCAGGTTCACCTGGACAGGTAACCAGTCTATCACAGGGCTACACTTAGAGACAGACAACCAAGCACACTCACATTCACACCTACTGACAATTTACAATCACCAATTAACCTCAGCATGTTTGTGGACTGTGGGAGGAAGCCGGAGAACCCGGAGAGAACCCACGCTGCACGGGGAGAACATGGAGACTCCACGCAGGAAGAGTCCCGGGTGTCCTCACCGGGACGCCAACCGGCGACCTTCTAGCTGTGAGGCCACGGTGCTAACCACTGATCCACCTGCAGCCCTGCATTATTATTGTTATTATTATTAATCTTATTGTTGTTGTTGTTTTTGTTGTTGTTGTTGTTGTTATACACACACTGATCCATGAATTTGAATATTTAGAATAACTACTTGATCTGAGTATGAATGATGGAGTCGGATCACATCTCCCACTGGCTGGAGACGACACTTCTAAACAGTTTATTCTTTGTTTATTGCTGCTGTTGTTTCTATACTGAGGATCCATATGAGCACGCTGAGGATGCAGTGAAGCACAAAACGATCGACGGCTGAGCAACGCGTCGGTTCTGGACACGGACTGCAGAGAAAACAAGAAGACTTCTCCTCGGAACAGTCCTGCCATTTTCCCAGATGCCCAACTCAGCGGACTCGGATTGAAAAACACACACTTGCGAGATTGTATCACAGTTGCCATGGAGATGAGATCAGACAGCTGGCAGACGGGAGGAAATTGGCCCGGTAGCTTTTCACCGCGGTGCCAAACACAGAGACGGACAGTGAATGGAGTCCTGCTGTTACCGCGGGGAGTTGACAGAGGGAGTCAGCGCGCTGTGCTGCAGCATCACGCTAATCTGATCTCAGATGGCAGGATGTGAGGCGGAGAACAAAGCCGCTTCCTGATGCCTCGTGTTTCTATGGCAACAGCAGAACATGTCAGAAGTGGTCCTGTGAGCCGGACCGAGGGCGTCGGGGTGCGGATGTTTGGGAGGATTTAGGAAGTTTAATCATGTTTGTTTTTTTTAGCTAAAGCCAAGAAAAGATAAATGTGTTTAACAGAACACGAGGAGGACCAGCACGATCAGAACCACACACGCCACCATCAGGAGACGCCGTGGACGAGGCGCTGCCTTCCTCTAGATGTTGTGACATTTTCTAAAGGTTGCTGCAACCTGATATCTTGTCCAGCAGGCAGACGGAGGCCGAGGCGGTTACTGAGCAGAGCTGCTGCTGAGAAACACATTAGAATAACTGAGCTGCCTTCACACGTAACACACGGATTAAATCAGCAAACAGGACGCGATCCGCAGCAACATGTAGTGAAACGGATCCACACAGTGAACACGTCTGTGCTGCACCGTTTGTTTAGGATTCTTATTTCTGAATCCCAGATCGGTTATAACAGTGAGTTAGAGCTTAAATGTCAAATATGGAGCCTTGGTTTTGAACTGAGGAAGACATCGGCAGGCTTCATTAGCTGTAGCTAGCTGCTTAGCCAAGCTGAGCTTAGTTCTGCTTTAAAAATTAACATTACAAGGACCTTAATGATGCAGCTAACGGCTACACAGGCCATAGCTTCAGCCTGAGGCTCCACAGATGAGGAGACAAAATGAGAACCTCTGGGCTTTCAGGACATAAAACACACATATGATCAGTCTGAAATACAACAAGCCTCTTTGCCCCCGTCACCAGTCAGACTGGATTCACAAAACGACGACAGCTGGGTGTTGTTCATGTTGCTCATCAGAGAGTAAAGAACACCAGAGCAGGATGAGCTGGAACACATCTGATTCTGTAACCTGTGAAAATGGTCCAAGTCCAAGTGCAGGGACCTCCAGGATGGAAAGGGTTAAAAATGATGCTACCAGATGGACACTGAAGCCTCCACACGAGCTGACGATCAACGTGGAAGACATGAAGATGAAGGCGTTGCTCTGAGATGCTCTGCAGAGGGAGTCAGTCCCAGGAACACGCGGTTTAGAAGCTTGTTCTACATACGTGTTGTTTCCAGACTGGATGAAGACTAACTCGGCTGAACTGGGTTCAGGGAAGACAGATCAACGTACACTCTACAAACCACAGACCGTCCACGGGAACAGACACCAGCTCAGCTTCGTAGCTCTGTGTCTGTGGCTCCATCCACACCGACCCGGGACGGGCCGGCTGCGTCCAGCTATGTCTGCTGTAACTGGACCGTGACTGATTGGTGGAGGGGGTCGGCGTAGATTTGGCAAACCCACAACACGCACACACACACACACACACACACACACACACACACACACACACACACACACGGGCGCCTGGACAAGCATCGACACTGATGCGTGTTTCCTCAGAGACGTCAGAGCGGCCAGCAGGGATTAAACACCTGCGACACTGATGGATGGTGGCCGCGCTGTGAATCTGATTCATGAGCTTCAAGCTGCGTGTTCGGTGCTGCCCGACCGAGTCCGAGTGCAGAATAACACCGCAGAGAGAAGCTGCTGGTTTCACATAGACGGATAAATGCCACGGCAGTCTTACAAACGCATATATGAGCAGGTGAACGAGACATGATGGAAAACATTTACATTCAGAAAGTGTTTTCTATCCTGATGGCTTCCTAGAAACAAGCCATGAGATGACTGAGACTGACGAGGTGCATGGACTGACTTCCTGTTGGTATCTGGGTTACTGTCCAGACACCTCTGCTACACACTGAGCGTCCTGTTTGGCTCCTGGAGCCTGAATACTGACCCGGTCCCAGCTTGGCTACGGCACACAGCAGGTCGTAGTTGATGACGGGCGTAGCGTCTTCGCTCTGGCTCCAGCCCACGGGTGGCGAGGCAGGCGGCGAGATCAGGAACTGTTTGACGGGCTGAGGAGGCGCCAGGTAGGACTTGTCGATGTCCTCGTCGCCGTTCTGGATCTGTCAGAGAGCAGATTACAAGTGATCAGGACCCAAGGACTCCACAGAGGAAGTAAGTGTGTAATCCTGATGTGCACAACGGGCTGATGGAGGTGTTGGTCCGGCACATATCTGACCTTTTGTTTACTGGGCTGTGTGGTGCAACACATCATGACCAGTACGTACTGGGAGGGAACCAGTGGTTAGCATTACATCATTATGGGGGCTCAACCCGGGGAAGCGATCAACGCGTCCATACCTGCATGTGTCATGATGCTGCGTCAGAGCAAACAAAAGCACCACAGGTCTGGCTTCAGCCTTCCACTGCCGGCTCGTTCCCATGAAGGGATTGTGGCGTTCTGATAGCTGCCAATTGCTGTAATTACAACACCTACATGTGGCATCTGTCTGATCTGTAAAATCCTTAATCCTCTTACATCAAAGCACTATGAGGTGCAGCGGGGGTCACGACTGATGTTGTGTTTGTGATAAAGGGAGGCATTAACCAGACTGAAGCGGGTGCATATGACTCCAGCAAGCACCACTTTAAAGGCATTTAAGTCAAACTGGGGTTTCTGGACTCGCTGCACTGAAATACAGCAAATTAGATGCTGCTGAGATGATGTTTAGAGCAACCCAGTGACACGTCCAGATCGGTCTTTGGCACCTTAATGAATGAAGACAAGAGCCTTTGTCCTACAGGTTGTGAAACTCATGCCTGTACATTCTTATTTTTATAGATGTGAGTGCATGTGTGGGATATAATCAACGGTTTGCGTCTCTTAGTTTGTGTTATCAGAAACTTCCTTCCTTCTCTTCCCCACAGGCACAACACAAACGCACACATGAGCACAACCACGACGGAGGAAAGTCGTGTTCTTGTGTTCAGTCGTGTGACGGATGGGTTCTGACAGGAGGGTCCGCGGGTCGAGGAGGCAGTCAGGTGTGGCTCAGAGAAGTGAGCATCACAGAAAAAAGAAGAGAAAAACTGAAAGGAGGTGGGAGGAGAACCAGTGCCAGCCTCCTCCTCTGGGCTTCTTCCCCTGTTCAGTGTTTCTGTGTGAGCGCTGCTCTCTATGGAAACCAGCAGCGCTCCATCTCCCAGGACCCCGCTGCCCTTTCCCAGACCCTCCGACGGACACTCACTTGAGCAAAGTAGAGCTTGAGCTTCTTGCCGTTGAACTCGGACTCGTGCAGCTCGATGCGAGCGCGAGCTGCTGCCTCTGGGGTGCTGAAGTTGATCCGGACTCTCCGGAAGCTTTTGAACATCTGGAAAGTTGTCTGTTCGTCGTAGATCCTAAACAACGCCTCAAACCTCTCCTGTAGAAGACAAAGAACAGACGAAACGTGATGAGAGACTCATATCTTGTGCTGATGTTCTGCAGATGTGGTGAAAAGAGACAAACATTTAGAAACCGAACGACAATAAAGACGTCATGTTTGCTCGATGAACAGCTTAAAGGTTTTATGTTGTTCATCACCTACACCTGTCCACCAAACATGTTCCTACAGCAGATACACGGGGATGATGTGTCACCTGCCCTCACTTCAACTGATCTCAGACAAATAAAAGTTATATTTCCTTTAGAATCGATTCTAAACTCTTCCCGACATACAAACACACACACAGCATGAAGCCCACTGACAGGTTCACTCAGCATCTGCTGCACACACTCTGCTGTTTATCGCTCACTCTTAGTTTTATTGCTCGAGTTTATTTCTTTTATTTCCTAGCAGAGATAAATTCCCTGTTTGTGCACAAACTTGGCCCATAAAGTTGGTTCTGATTCTGTTTGCTCCAACGTAATGTTCTGCTGGGAAAGCTCGGATGTTTGCATTTACGTGGATTTTACTTGGAAATGGACCACCACCTAAAACCAGCTGCAGACCGAGCTCAGCCACGCCGGCAGCAGGACAGGACGCCCGCGACCCTGCAGAGAGGAACGGCTCAGGAGGTCCGGACCAGGCATCCACGGGATCAGCAGACCCGATCCACAGAGACCCCCCTGCAGGCCACACGGCCCAAAAGATGCACTGCCATCATCCAAACCCCAGGACAGAGATCCTGTCCGTCCCTGATGGGCTACAGCTGCTTCGGCATCATGATGACGTCGACACAAACACCAGCGGTGGTTCTAATGCTGTGGCTCCCTGCTGTGCTCAGACTGAACCATCCATCCACTGTTCTAAAAGATGAGCAGTTTGGGGATTCAGCTGGTTGACACCTGTGTGTGCAGCAGACGTGACTCTACCTGCTCTGCACCTCTTTCATTTTGTTATCAGGTTAATGGAGAAATTAGATTTCCGGCTTCCTGCCATTTTGCTGCGATCTCGCCTGGTTCTGTTTGTCTCAGTCGGTTCCCCTCCCTGTGTTCTTCTTTATGTAATTATCTCCTCTCTCTGCTTCCATCTGATGTACGGCGCTTTGTCTTTAACGTCGCCCATACATTCCCACATGCCTCCTTTTTTTTAACTCAGGCGTCTCTGTGGGCACCAAATTGGCCTCCTCAGCTGTGAACTCAATCAAGCAGCTCAGCAGGAGGGCGAAAGGAAAAAGGCCGCCGGGAGAAGAGCTGCTTTCTGAGTAATCAGACTGTTCTTTGTCTCCTAGCTGACCGTCCACCAGCAAAACTCCACCATGAAACCGGCCTCCTGTCCAAGAACCACCTGACGGACCGCTGCTTCCTGCTCACGTGTCCTCAGAGCCACATGTCTGCAATCAGCGGCATCGGCGTCGGCTGCTAAGTGCTGCTCTCAGATTAGCCGCTAGTTCTGTTCTGGTGAGACAGTTTTTATCAGAACAGGTTTTTCTTTTCTGTTGGCGGCTGTGGGAGACAGAAAACCCAAACGCTCCCACAGCGCGTCCCGTGTTGAGCTGACGCAGCACCAGGATGGAAAGGGTGCCGGTGACCTGCAGGACCTGCAGGACCGGCGGCAGCGTGTCGGCCGTGAGATCTGCCGCCGTGCATCAGTGACAGTCTGGTGACACCAGGTATCTGCAGACTCAGCACATAGCGATGGGGGCCCGGTTCTGTCTGTGTGGATCTTTAAAATAAGACTCCTGCACATAAACTCCTCATCTGATCCGGTATCAGTACCGGACATCACAGACCTACAAGCAGGACGTTAGTCTGGTCCTGATCATGTGCACCGGTGGGAGCTGTGCTTTAATTCTGCTGTTCATCCAAAGTAAGACATGCACTGCTATGAAACTGAAACTAAAGGTCATATTCATTCATTTAAAAGCTCTTATTTTTATTTACTGAATCAACTGAAACCTGAAATTTATCAAGAGTGAAAAAAAAAATTACAATCTGTTCAAGTCGTCGCTCAGTCGCTGGTTTTTCAAAATAAGACGTTTGTTCACGACAATGAAGACAAAAAAGATGATTTTTATTTTTACTGCTATCAAGCGGATATGATCCATTAGATTTGGTAAAATAAACATTTTATAAAGGTCAGTTATGGTACAACTGTACGCAGCACTAAAGCAAACACTGATCAAAGCTTCAGTGAACAGGAGGGAGTGAACAGAACCGATCCGGGCTGTACGCTGCCTCTCGGTGGACGAGCAGCGCCGCCCGGTCTGACACATGCCGAGCTGTAAATGACTCTGCAAGCTGTGAACCACCTCTATGCTGCAGTTTGTTCTTCACTGTGGCCAAACAATTTGGATTTTAAAAATAAGCAGATTAACACGTTTACTCAGAATCCTGCCTCTTTCTGTTCTGGTTTTATCTCGTCCCCGTGTGCGAGCATCTGCTGTCCGGGCCGGCTGAGCGAACTCCAGCACCGGCTCACCTCCAGGCGCCGTCACACCATTTTTAGTCGGGTTTCTAGCTCACCATACAAGGTGCATTCTCAGGAAGCACGGAAACGAGGTCAAGTCCAGGAATGTGTGAATATCTCGACTCCTTTTATGCATGATGAGGAGAAATACCGACCACCTCAGCAATTAGGACGCAAGAATCCCAGAAAGCTGGAGCGAGTGACTCGTCACGGCGCCGGGTCGGCAGCGTGAGCCCGTTTAACACGAACAGTTTAACAAGAGCAGAATAAGCAGCTGCTTCCTCTGCTCTTACACATGGTACCAGACAGACAGCCTCTGGATTTATATAAGATCTGCCCCGTTCATGCCAGAACAACCAGGACACGCCTCTAACCAACCTGATCCTGCTTCACCTTTTACATTGTTTTCCACCACCTGGGATTCCATTTAAAGTCTTTTTTCTCCCCTGATAGTGAATGTTTAACATTCACTAAGTACCTGCTACGTTTATCTGCCTTCTGACCGTCCTGAGCAGGTCGACATTAAAGCCACTGACAGAGGAGATGTAGACACACCGCGATGCTCTGCTGGGACGTCTGGGCTCCTGGCGGGTCGTATAGCAGCACCACCCACCGAGGGAGGCCTTCCCCAGCAGGATGACGCACCCCGACACCCCAAAACTACGGTTCAGAAATGGCTCCACGTCCGAGGCACTGACCAGGACCCCAAACCCCCAGGATCCTAATCTGATAAAGCCCGATCCACCCTACACCCCACAGGACCCACATCCTGGTTCCTGACCCGTCAGGACGCCTCCAGAGGTCCCATGTACCTGCCCAGAAGATTCAAAGCTTTTTGGAATCACAGAACGGGGAACCTACACGACATGAGGCGGTTTAGATGGTCGGGCTGATCAGTGTGTTGGTGTGGATACGAGACGGTACCAGTTTATCTGCACCCTCCATGTTCTGGTGAACAACACCACAGTTCTATGGTTCTTATCTAAATTCTTCTGCTTTGCACTTTTACAGTTATTTTTTAGCTATTTGTATATTTTGATCTTGTTCCTCACTCTGTACGTATCGCTGCACCGACCCACCAGAACTCATTCCTCCTGTTGTGTGAACTATACCTGGTGATAAATCTGGTTCTGATTAAAGCTGCAAAGTCTACAATGAAAAGCGTCGCCTAAAGAAGCCATAAAGATCCACAGACACACATCGTTCCCATTTTGCTAATTAGAATGTGCCAACATAAGAGTATTTACTGATTTTGTGTCGATAAATGGCACGTTTGAGGAAGCAGTGAGACCTCCGTGCACCAGCTTGGCTCACAGTTCACAGCATTTCACGCTAACCTATCATTTGTTCAGAAACCTCCCTGATTCGGGTACAAACATGATTAGCCTGAGAACAACAACAAAGCACTTGCTTGGCCTCTCTGCAGAACCCACTTAAGCCCTTATTCAAACTGTGAATTTTCCATGAGCCCTGGCCAGCCGCTATGACTCACATGTCATCAGACCGATAAGGTGGTCACTGGCGGACACACAAACACACACACGGCGGCTGCTTCCTTCACCTAAATTGATATTTTGGCGTGAGCAGAGATGTGGGGAAAGCTCCCAGATCGCCTTCCATAATAGCGTGCGCCGTTTGTTTTTAACCCCGTACGCCGAGGCTGATACACCCACGGCCGACTGGCGCGTAACAAGTGAGCGTGCTCATCACTAATTTACGAAGCCTCTATGAGTGAACATCCTGCGGGGAAGGAGAGGAGGAAGACGAGGGGAAACGAGGAAGAGGAGAGGGGTGTTGAGTTACACATGGCTGAAAAGTGGCCTGCTCATCTGCCACAGCTATGTTCCCCACAGTGACCTACTCCCTTTGTTCCCTTTGTGTGTGTGTGTGTGTGTGTGTGTGTGTGTGTGTGTGTGTGTCAGAGCATGTGTGTGATGCAGACAATGTGTTCAGGATTCTTTACTGTTTCCATAAGTAGCAGCTGTAGGTACTCGTGAACATAGACGATGCATTCAGGTGCTGGTGGAGGACGAGCGTACGAGCTGTGAGCAGAGACAGACTGCTTCTAAATGCACAACATCCAACTACTACTGTACCTGCTGTGCAGGAAAACAGGTGAGAGAGCAGAAGAGAACAGCATGTTCTGGTTTCTCTTCTGAACAAGACGGACAACAACATCCACTGAAGACGCCAGATAACAGAACACGGTTCATCTCCCACACAGCCACTAATTCACAGAAAACAAACCGGAGCACAAATCAGGACGAAAACATTAAAAAATATATATACCAGCACACACCTCAGGATAACTTCTCACATGTCAGCCAACAGGAGAGGTGTGCTGTGTTTAGGGTGGAGAAGTCTGAAAGCAGGAGGTGTGAAGTCGCAGCTCTCAAATAGCCGACAACTTGAGTTAATTGAAACAGCGAGGCAGCTCATCCCTGCTGACCGCATGTTTCTCCATGTCGCCTTTACGTAACAGCCGGGGTGCACCTCTTCCCTTCCTGTCCTAGATTGTCCACTTCACCTCT